ATTGAATTCATCATATTTTTTGGTTTATTGAAAATGTTTGAGATTTAAACATGTATGGTTTCTCACATATTTAATTTAAAATAACTTATATAACAGAAAAATAAATCCCCGTTTCCCCGTTGAGGATCCCCGTTGGGGACGAGGATGTGATTATATTCCCCGACGGGGATTGAGGTCCCCGCCCCATTTCCATGCCTACTTACCGGGGAAGATTTTTGGTCCTTACCATATTCATCCGGTGAGGTCACATGACTTGATAAACACTTACCCGAGTAAATGTTTAGTAAATGGCCCCTTAAAAACCTGGAGTTTTTGCTAAATTTTATAAATTTTTTATTAATGAGCTATAATTTTTGGGGTTTATTAGTACTATAAAACCGAAAAAGAAAATAGAATCATGAAGCAAATTACAAAATTCAGATGTAAAACATAGCATCCATGAAGGGGAGGGGTATACCAAGGAAATCTGAAAACTAGATTTACAACATATAATATATGGTATATATACATAATATATATTATTAATTTCTGATGTATATATTAAATTGGTTTCTTATTTTTTTTAAAAGATAATAAAAAATTTAAGGTAAAAGACGGATTTGTCCTCTTGTATATGTAACGGAACTCCGTTAACCATATTAACTCAAAGAAACCACATATATGGGAAAAATGAAAAGAATTCGATATAAATATTCCTTTCAATTGATCAAATCCAAATGTTGAACAAATTACACGGACCAACAATATAATTCATTCATTATTGGATATCATAAATTCAAGTATTTATTTGGTCCTCTCAAGTTGAGGCCGTCAAAAATCAGTCCCGGTTTCAAAATAGTGATCCTATAACCGGTCCTGGCGTAAACGCTCTCATCCCAACCCAAAATATGAAGGCCCGGTTAAGGTGTATGAGACCCGATTATGAGAATTGGTCCAGGGCTGGGCCCAAACTGATCCTATGTAAAAAAAATTAAAATTTTGATTTTTTTACGTAATTCTTTTTGAAGTTCTTTCTAAAAAGTGTTATTCTAATACACTTGAAAATATGTAATTAGGTCAATTAAATATACTTAAAAAATAAGTTTTTTGCAAGAATTGTGAAAGTTTGTGAGTTAATATCCCCTCCCCCCCATATACCATATGACTCATATATAGTGAATAGAGGATAAATGAGAGATTTACATACACTTACAAAAATATGTTTTATTATAATCTTGTAAATGGTTTTCAATCAAATACACTTACAAAGTTAGAAATACACTTAAAGATAAATTTAAAAATACACATTTTTTGGAAATATTGAGCCGGCTCGGGCTGGGCCCATAACCAGTCTTGGACTGGGCCTTGTTTTTTGACGAAAACCATAACCGGCGGTTCCAAACCGGTCCCAATCAATTCAGGGCGGTCCCAAGTCGGTCCCAATTCTCCATTGGGGATTCATTTGGCCATCTCTACTCTCAAAGTCTCAAGTATGAACACAAAAGTTTATTAATGGATCAGAATGGGACTGGATTGGGCTATCTACGGCCCACAAGCTGCTAAAGTGGTTAATTGAATTATTTATCGGATTGGGTTCCGGCGAGAAAAAGAATTATGATAAGAAGCGTAAGAAAATTAATCTTCACCATTAAGTCAATCTTAATTGAAGAGTTTCATTAGATTAATACTAATGAGAAACATTAGATTAATTCTCTTTTAAAACGCAAATCATGAGTTAGGGGCCGTTTACCAAACACTTACCCGGTAAGCATATAACGGTAAAACTCAACAATATTATTTACTTACCAGGTAAGATTTTAGTCAACAAAAACGGCTTTCTATGCAACGAATTACCCGGTAAGATTCATTGCCCTCACTTACCGGGTAAGATTCTAGGTCCTTGCCTCGTTCTTACCGGGTAAGATTCATGGTCCTTTCCATGTTCATCCGATACGGTAGTGTAACTTGGTAAACACTTACCCAAATAAACATTCGGTAAATGTCCCCTTATTTTGAGATTAAGTGATCAAAGATATAAATCCCTTCTTACATTTACAAGTTAAATAACAAGTTTTTGATCTTGTTGGTACAACATCATGAAAGTATACGAGGAGTCATTTAGAGAAAACTATATTGTTGAATTGTTCAAGAAAACGACTACATGCATGTGTTTATGTATACTAGAAGCGTACTCGCGCAATGCAGCGAGATGCATCATGATTTTAATATTTCATTTTCTTCTTTATCTCAGTCGATATTATAATA